TTTATACTTCTTTTCCTAACCATATCCATCAGTTCCGACTTAAGCAATCCATCAGTTCGGACTTTAGCAGTCCACCAATTCAGACTTAAGTAATCCATCAGTTTGGACTTAAGCGGTCCATCAGTTTGGACTTAAGCGGTCCATCAGTTCGGACTTAAGCGGTCCATCAGTCTTGACTTTAACAATCCATCAACTTGGACTTAAGCAGTCCATCAGCTCGGACTTAAGCAGTCCATCAGTTTAGACTTTAGCAGTCCATCAGCCATGCGCTTAAAAAATCCATCAGCGAGGCACTTGAAAAGTCCCTCCCCTTAAATGGACTTTAACACCACATAAACTTAGACTTGAAAACAGTATATGTAACTCTGATCTTAACACTCCTCTTTATCTGCTGATTTAAGACAACTAGATTTATACCATAATGTGATATTGACAGTTCGGTTCGCCAAATCTAAAAAGAACATTTACACATCATTTCAGTTTATGCTTTATCAGAAGAAGCAAAAAAATTAAAATACACACAACACTTAAATAGGAACAATAAATAAGGATTTTTTTTCATTAAAAGAAAACTTAACATGTTCCACAAAGATGATTAAAAGGATCTACTACACTAAGTACATAACTTCACCTAAGATTCTAAACCAGCTCCCCCTTCTAAAGGTATCTCCACATTTGAGCCCTGATTCGCAAGCACATTTGAAGGGATTTGAGTACCTATCTGTTGTTCGGTATCAGGATCAACCAAAGGATCTTCCGAAGGGGGATCCTAGTGAGCTAGTAAGATGGAAGGAGGATCTTCCAAAACAACACCATCACCAATAAGCTTGCATTGTTTTTCTTCCTCCTTATCAGGGTATACCTCATCAACCCAGCTCCAGTCTTTGTCCGGATCTCGAGCCTTTAATTCAGCCATAATTTTAGCCCTAAGGTTCAGACAAGCCTTGGCTAGATCCTCCTCCACCGAGCCCTCTTGAGCTAAAGCCTTTAAATCTCATTCTCCAACTCCTCATTTTTAGCCTCCAAAGCTTTGATCTTTTCAGCGTGGGCTTAGATCTCCTCTTGAAGTTTTTCATGTTCGGCATCCCGAACAATAATCTCCGCCTTATATCGCGCCTCCTACTCGTTCCTAGTGGAGTCTAGACTCTTTAAAGCCTCCTCCAACTCAACCTTCTTCCCCTCCATCTTTGTGTATGCCCTTTTAACTTATTTATACGAGCATAACTAAGGTTGTTATCATTTATTACCTGGAAGAGACTTTGGTTAGTAAGGTCCCTCATCGCCAGATCATCCAAACACTCATACTAATGAAGATCCACGAGAAAAAGGCAGTTGCAGGATATCTCATGACTAGGTTAGTCGCTTTGCAGACTACAGTTCAGTCCGTACTTCTTTAAAAAATGGGTTCAGATATCTAGGGCCTTGCCAGATTAAGAAGGAAAAGGGGGAGGAATAGGAACTGTCACTTCTCGAGGCCTCTTCCTACTAGGCTCAATTGAAGGAATTGTAGCAACATACTTAACATGAGCAAACTCCGAGACAACACCAGCGTTATCTGCTGGAGGATCAAGTATCACCAGAGGAATCCCCTTATCAAATCTCTTCGCTTCAGCCTTCTTATTCATCGCCTCAGTTATTTTTGACATCTTGGAAGCCTTTGCCTTTTTAGGAGACATCTCTGCATAAAAAAGCAAAAAAAAAATAAAAATAAAAAAAATAAAAAAATAAAAAAAAGAGAAAATTAGGAAAGGTAAGTACAAGAGCGCAACACTTATACAAAGAGGAACTAAACTTACCAGCAGGTGAAGGGTTCGGTCTCATGCGCCCGCTAGGAGAGTAAATTGGGTAACCCTCGACAATCACTTGCCTCAGGTTTGCAGATCTCAACCCCCTAGCTTTTATCAATTCCACACATTGTTGATCGTCAGGAGTAGGCGAAGCTGGGAGACAATGCGTGGGGTCATTAGAGCACTGGTTTCGGTACCCCGAAGCCACCTGGATGCCGAACTATGAAAGACTTTTGTTTCTAATTTTTCAAGGAAGAAATCTTTGACTGTTTGGAGAAGATGCTACAATTATTCTTCACTTGAAGGAAACAGTGGTCTTCATTTACTCTGACATGTAGACAATAAAGCTCCCTCACCCCCCAGCTGTAACAACTGTCTCATCTCGACAAGCCAACTCCACTATACCACATAGAAATCTTAAACCGTTAGGGTGGAGTTGGCTGATGGTGATGTCGTATTCACTGAAAAAAGATTTCAGAGGCTCGGATAGAGGTAGCCGAACCCTTGATTGAAAGTCTTCCTCATATAGCATAATGGACTCACTATCTAACGGTTCATTTGCTCTCGTATACTTTGAAGGGCGAGCTAACTTATACTCTGGCATGATGTTGTACATGGAACATACATCAAGAAACTCGCCCTCATTGATATTAGAGGGAACGTCTGCGATCCTAACATTCTCCCTTCTACCTTTTGCTTCCCTAACCCTGAATTCGACAGCTTTACCTTCAGACTGCTCAATTAAAACTTGAACGTCTTCATCGCTAGACGAACCCATGATTTCGCCAAAAGTAAATAAAAAGTAATACAAAAAAGCTATAAAACTTACTAAAGAGAGAAAGAAGTTTTTAGAGATGTTTTGGCATTTAGAAATGTTGAGAGTGAAGAAAATGAGGTAAGGTGAAAGCCTTATATAGGCAAGGTGGAGTACCCAAAGGTCACCATATTTAATGAAGTAACTCTTGGAGTACGCCTTGGCAAACGAACCAGCTCTTGTTTACCTCAAAAGGAACTATCTTTTTCTAACAACGTGTGCAGACAAAAAAAAAAAAAAAAAATGTTTTTAACCTCAATAAGGAACTATCTTTTTTCTAACAACGTGTGGCAGACAAAAAAAAAAAAAAAAACCAAGAATAAAAATAAAATATATTACCATAATTTGGACAATAAATGATCAAAATAATTAAGGGGGACTACTGTAATATACATGATAAAAATTATATGAAAGAATAATATAAAAGATATTAGACTCCTAAATACTTAATTAATAAATAATCTAGATTCCTACTATCGCTTAATCTAACTATAATGTAATCTCTCCGTTAAATATATATATATATATATATATATATATTAATATATATGATATTAGATACGATAGATAGATGGATGGATAAGAAGGAACACCATTTCTCTTATCTATATTCTCCCATTTATTAGAATAACATTTGAGTCCTTGTACATGTTAATATGTTGACATAAATAACATTTTATTAGAAAATAACAATTTATTAGTAAATAACATATGGCAAATAACAACAATAAGGGAAACTTTTTTTCTATCAATTAATTAAAAAGGCCAGATGGAAGTCAGAAATAGCATGTGGAGATAAAATGATAGGGGGTAATAAAAGTCCTTCTTTCAAGGCGTCCAATTGGTGGGAATATCCTTTTATAGTTGAAAGATCTCAAAAATCTTCAGATTTTTTCACTCCCAATGCTCTTATAGAAAGTGAGAAGACCAACTAAACCACCCTTGTTGTTTTTTTTTTACTAAGAGAATAAAGAGATTTTTTAATTTTTGTTATAGTAAATTTTATTTATAAGGTTAGGGTTGCACTAACGGTAGTTATGCACATATGAACAAATTACATAATTAGAAATGAATATATAATGATATAGATAGATAGATAGATGGATGGATAAGAGGAACACCATTCTCTTGACTCTATATTCTCCATTTATTAGAATAACATTTGAGTCTTGTACATGTTAATATGTTGAGCATAAATAACATTTATTAGAATAACATTTATTAGAATAACATTATGCAAAGTAACAACAATTAAGGAACTTTTTTTCTATTCATTAATTAAAAGGCCAGATGAGTCAGAATAGCAGTGTGAGATACAATGATAGGGGGTATAAGTCTCTTTCAGGCGTACCAAATTGGTGGAATATCCTTATAGTTGAAAGATCTCAAATCTTAGATTTTTCACTCCCAATGCTCTTATAGAAAGTGAGAAGACCAACTAAACCACTCTTGTTGGTTTTTTTTTTACTAAGAGAATTAAAGAGATTTTAATTTTGTTATAGTATGATTATTTATAAGGTTAGGTTGCACTACGGTAGTATGCACATATGAACAAATTACATAATTAGCAAATGAACCTAAGGATGATTATGCAAAATAAAAAAAATACTTGTCTATAGCGGATATATCATATAATCAAACGATAGGTAATTGTTATTTGAAAAAACTGCAACCTTTTTGTTAAGAATCACACATCGATTAAATACCCAACCTATAAAAGGCATATAAGGATGACAAGTTAGCTAGCTAATTGGTAACTACTAACCTTTTAGCATTAGTTGCCCCAAGTCTAATTAAGCCCACATCTACATTTTCACTTCGTGGGTTCTAACCTGTTACCCTATTTACATCTACCCTTTCAATTTGTAATATGGTATCAGAGCGGGTCCGGCCCGGTTTCAGTTATTCTCGGTGATGCCACTGCGTTTAAATTCGGGCTCTCGTCTGGATGCCCAGTCCCAGCGAAGCCCATTCAATTTCAAGAGCAAAAAGCCCAGTTCAAGTTTAGGGGGAGGATTTCAAGTTTCAAGTTTCAACCAAAAGTCCAGTCCTTGTTGCACTTGAGGAGTATTAAGAATCCCACATCGTTAAATACCCAACCCTCAAAGGGCATATAAGGGTGGCAAGCCAGCTAGCTAATTGTTTAGTACTAACCTTTTACAATTGGCTGGCACAAGCCAAAGTAAGCCCACATTTACATTGTCACCTCATAGGTTCTAACCTCTTACCAAGTTTACCTCTACCCTTTCAATTTGTAATACTTTTATTATTGTACATGAAATAAGGTTGAAATTCACTCTTAATAAATTATGAGACTAGTATAGATGTAATTGTCCATATTGAACATATTATTAATGGAACTACTCAAATAACAGTTTTTTTTTTTTTTCAATGTGCAGTGATTTGTCCTACAACAATTTCACAACTCAAAGCGCATGTCAAGAACGTAACATGTACAAAAAATTCAGTCTCATTTTTTATCTTTCTTTATCTCTCTCTCACACACACATGGTAGATAAATGATCAAATTTCTTGTTGCTTCCACAGAAACTTATTTGCAAGCTCCTTAATGGGCAATGCATTATAAGTTTGTTTATTTTTTTTCTCCTGTTTTTGAGAATTTGAATCATATATATTCATTTATTGTTGCTTGTATTGTTTTACAGAAATATTGTTTCATGTTTAAGAAGCAATAGTTGCCCAAAAAGTAAGTAAAGTTTTGTTTTTTTTTATTATTTTGAACTTCTAATTTTAAATTATAATTTAGAGCCTAGAATTAGGCATGGGCTTATGGTTAGGTCCAACTATTACTAAAATAAGTAGAAATGGACATTGCCTAAAAGCCATAAAACTCATATGCCCTTTAACTTTTTAATTTTTATGGGTCCCATTTATATATGGCACAACCTAAGAGGGGAGTGAATTAAGTTTTCCAAAAATTTCACATTTTAAAAGCACAAGATCAAAATACTATTGCAGTGGAATCAGAAAGCATTGGTGAGGATCAGCTATTAAGTTTAGAACTTCCCCACAAAGCTATTGTAAAATTAGAAAGACTCTGTGAAGAATAGTTATTGCGTTTAGAACTGCTTCACAAAGCTTATGCAAGTTTAGAAAACTGATTATAATTCAGATTGTGATTTATACTGAATATAAAAGGACAAATTAGAACTTGGTATAATCATAATATAGAAATTCAGAGTTCTAATGCACCATAAAGATACAACTTGTTCACCTTTAGAAACATAAACTTAAACAACTTTGCATTTCTAAAAAGATTAATAGTTGTGTAAACAAAATATAATCAAGCAACACTTCAGAAAATGAAAGAAGATAAGCACAGAGATTTATAGTGGTTCGGCACTAACGCACAGAGATTTTATAGTGGTTTCGGCACTAACTCGCCTACATCCACTCTCCAAGACTCATCTTGAGATCCTCCACTATGTTTATCTCTTTTTTTCAAGGGTAACAGACAAACCAACTTTACAAACCAACTTTACAAGAAAATAGATCAACACCTAGATCCAACCTTTGTCCCACTAGATTTCTAAAGGTTCTAGTCAACCTCAACCCTTTCTATTTTGCAGAGAACCGAAAACTCACATCAAGACATTAAATCTCACACAATGAGAAGGTTGCTTGATAAATTTTTTACACCATAGCTTTTCACCTAAGCTATTACACAAATATTTTTCGTTTAGAATCCTTTAGCCTACAACAAATTACAAGAATCTATATAGACAGAGAGAAATGCAATTATAAGCACAGGAAGAACCAAACAGATTTTAAAATAGAAGGAAAGTTCAGAACTGTTCTTCAGAAAATGTTATTACCAGATTTCTTTTCTCTTAAAAAATATCTTTTAAAGCAAATAGATGAAAATAAATGAAGGGGGTTGAACAGAGAGCTTTGAGAGATCTGAAACTTTGAACAATTAACTCTTACCCTTATAAAAACCACATTTTTTCAAAAGAGGAAAAACGTTTTTATAAGAGGGATGAATATCCCGTTATAAAAGATCCCGTTATAAAAGATGTTGAAGTTTTAGCTTTAATGAGTATTTTGACTTTTTGAAAATAAAAAGATAGAGTATGTGAATCTTTTACAAATACTCGATTATTTGTTGGAAAAAATAATTTTTGCCAAAATCTTTTTCATTGAGGTAAGTGAAATTAAAAGGGCAAAGATTTGGCTTTTTTTAAGGCAATTTTCGAGAATATGTCAAAAATAATTTTGAAAGAAATAAAGAGATTTTCTGCTTATAAAGAAATATTCTCTCTATCTTACAATATTTCCTAAGATGCTAACCCCTAAAAGATCTTCAATAATCTTCATGGTCTTCAAAGAATCTTGGATTATAGAAGCTTGATTTTCAATAATCTTCATGGTCTTCAAAGAATCTTGGATTATAGAAGCTTGATTTCTTTAGCAACTTCCATATTAAAAATCTGCATAAAATAACTTTAGCACTTACAAAAATATTAAATTTATTTGTTTTGCATAATCATCAAAATTTCAAGATAAAATTGACCATTAAGCCAATAATTTCCAACATTGTTTTGGAAACAAACAAAGTTAATGGATTCAAAAAATAGAATCATATGTTTCTCTTAGTAACTTAAATACAAAAAAATAGATTTTACTTTTATGTAACTATTTATTGTTACATTTTGTGCTAGCTTTCTATTCTCTTCATATAAATTGTGGAGGGACAGCAGCTACTATTAATGGAATCTCATATGAAGATGATACAGATGACGCTGGACCTTCACGATTCTTTCAAGTTAGAACTAACTGGGCAGTTAGCAATACTGGTCATTTCATAGATAATTCCAGCAATAAAGATGCCTATATGGCCACATACACAACAAAGCTCTCCCCAGGCACTTCTACGTTATACATGACTGCACGCATTTCTCCAATCTCTCTTACTTATTATGGTTTCTGCATGGGGAATGGGAATTACACAATTGGCCTCCATTTTGCAGAGATAATGTTTACGAATGATAATACGTATAATAGCCTTGGAAGGCGCATTTTTGATATTTACATTCAGGTATGTAGCTTATCAATTTAATATAATGTCTTGATGGAATAGCAAAGCATTAAGGACGGATAATGAGCCATGGAAGGCACATCTTTGATAAGAAATTTGGTTCCTATTAGTAACTCTATTTATTGGTGGAATATTGCAAGTTAGCTACGAACTAATCTAGTTATCGATTGGTTTGAAGTGTAATTTGCATATAAAATAGTTAATGTCATAGTTATGTTACCTTTGACAGGGAAAGCTTATGCAAAAGGATTTTAACATTGAGGATTACGCTGGTGGGGCTGGTAAGGCAACTACAAAAAATTTTACCACCATTGTTACAAGTCAAATATTGGAGATACGCCTTTATTGGAATGGAAAAGGGACAACTAACATTCCCTTTAAAGGAGTGTATGGTCCTCTTATATCTGCCATCTCTGTCATTCCAAGTGAGTTAATGACTTCTATAAGCTTTTACTTCTAGTGTAAACAATTATTAAAGTTAGAGGTATAACATTGCTTTTCTTTTTCATGCTTTCCTGGATTGAAAAATCTTTTTAATATTCTTTCCACATGTAGATTTTGTTCCCCCTTCAGAAGGTAGTAGTAGTAGTATTTCTACAAGCAGAGTGGTTGGTATTGTGGTTGCTGTAGTAGCTGTCATCTTCCTAGTTCTATGTGTCCTTTGGTGGAAAGGTTGTCTATGGCGTAAAGATATAATAGACCAAGGTATTTCTCATTATTCACTTATTTGTTTATGTTGCTATTTTTGTGGTTTTCCTCTTCATTTGAGATTTTTGAATTGATACGTCAACTTTATACTCCAAGAATTATAAAATTAACTAATACATATTCATTTTACTTAGATGAAATATTATTTATTTATATAAATAATGGTTTTAGTTTTCATGAAAAAAACTCTAAAAAAAATCTACTTCTTTAACAGATTTAAGGGGCCTAGACTTACAAACAGGTTCGTTTACATTGAGGCAAATAAAAGCTGCTACAAACAACTTTGATCGTGCTAATAAAATTGGAGAAGGTGGTTTCGGTCCTGTTTATAAGGTATCATAAAAAATTTGGAGAAGGTGGTTTCGTCCTGTTTTTATAAGGTATGCAAGTACAAAGTTCACTTTCAAATGAAGGACCTCAACTTTGTTTAATGAACACAAATAAAGTAATTAATCGTATTTTTAATATAAATGTTGCCACTACAAGATTAATTTTTAATACAATTAGATAAAATGGTGTCCATTACGGCTGACCAAATGGAGTCTTCAACATGAATGTTCAAAATATCTCTTCTTTATGCAGGGCCCTTCTTTCAGATGGCACTGTTAATTTGAGTAAAAGCAGGCTTTTCTAGATCAAAGCAAGGAAATCGGAATTTGTGATGAAATTGGCATGATTTTCTGCTCTGCAACATCTCACTTGCTTTAAAGCTTTAAGATGTTGTATTGAAGGAAAATCAAAATTATTCTAGTGTATGAGTATATGAAAATAAAACAGCCTTGCTCGTTGCTTTGTTTGGTAAGTCCCAACAAAAATATCCTAAATCCTAACTAAATATGAATAGTTATATATAATTATATATCAACCTCTTTAGGCTTACTTTAAGTATAATGACTTAAAAGGTCCTGAAGAACACCGATTAAATTTAGATTGGCCTACAAGACAGAAGATCTGTGTTGGTATAGCAAGAGGTTTGGCTTTTCTTCATGAAGAATCAAGGTTGAAGATTGTACATAGAGACATAAAGGCCACCAATGTTCTTCTTGATAAGAATTTGAATCCAAAGATATCTGACTTTGGTTTAGCCAAGCTTGATAAAGAAGAAAATACCCATATAAGCACTAGAATTGCTGGAACCTTGTGAGTTTCTATTCACTTCTTGCAATTTTTATTCTCTTTTCTTTTTTCCAACTTTAATTTCAAAGAAGTTAGAAAAAATAGATTTTTTTTTCTACAATATTAAATGTGTAGAATAATTTATTTGATGTATTCTACTTCTTTACCTATAATAACATGAATAATTAAACTTCAATCCCAATTGAATCTGAGAATTTAAGTATTCTTATGCTGGCCATAACTTACTCCCATCCTACTTTTTAACCTAGGCTTAGGATGATCCACTATACTTTCCTAGACTCACACACACGAAGTTGTGTCAATATATTACTTACAATTATATATTACAGAAAACAATATATAACTTACAATAAAATATTATTTATTGTGAAATGAGTTTCTTTTTTTAAAATGTGAAAATGGATATACGAAGATTCTAAATTTAAGTATATGTAAGATATTAAATTTTTATTCAAAAAGGAAGACAAATATAAATGCCTAATATATTATATTATTGATATTGCAGTGGGTATATGGCACCTGAATATGCAATGCGTGGTCATTTAACTGATAAAGCAGATGTTTACAGTTTTGGAATTGTTGCCGATGTTTACAGTTTTGGAATTGTTGCCCTAGAAATTGTTAGTGGAAGAAGCAACACTAGTAATCGGCACAATATGAAGAAGGATGACTTTTATCTTCTTGATTGGGTAAGAAAATCTCTTGTTTTCTTGCCAATTTTTCCCAAGAAAATTTCTTTCCTACACCTAATATATAGGTGGTCCCATAAACCAAGCCAATCAAACAAAGGTTTTTTTTTTTTAAAATGTTATTTTTTTTATCCATTTTTCTAAGTGTGTGACCATACAAGGTATGTATAGATAAGTATTTTCCTTTGAATTTAAATATTTTTTATTAGCTTAATGTATGGATGGGTTCACACTAGGAGTAGTAATGATTTGCAAAGGATTGAAATCCAAGGAATTAGTTATTCATTCAATTAAAAGGAAAATGAATATTATGCCTATATTCGTAATTAAGCACAGAGGATTTTCTCAACTATATATTGGACTGAGTATAGTTTAGTAAATCCAACCAAAATGAATTGGTTAAGCTTGATAATTGATTCAAATTTGGTTTTTGTAAAAAACAATTCAATTTAGTTTGCTTTTATTACACCCTAAAAAAAGCTCAAATACATACTAAAATAACTTAAAACCAAACCAAATTGATAGAGCCAATTTAATTCAATTAGATTTTGATTCTAGATATAATTTGTTTGGCTCGATTTTCCTCTTAAAAATTTCAGTTTATTTAATTTGTACTAATTGGGTTTTGATTTAAGCCAAATCGACTGAATGCTTATCCCTAACTATATATCTTTGTATAATTTTTCTTAGGCATGTGTTTTAAAAGAGAAAGGGAGTTTATTAGAGCTAGTAGATCCAAGACTAAGCAAAGACTACAATAAAGAACAGGTTGAGACAGTAATCCGTGTGGCTCTTTTATGTACTAATGTCTCTCCAGCAGTTAGGCCTGCTATGTCTTCAGTTGTGAGCATACTTGAAGGAAAAGCTTCAGTTCAAGACTCCAAATTGGATTCAAGTGTTTTACATGACGATTTCCAAGAACTCCAAATTGGGAATTCAAAGTGTTTACATGACGATTTCCACAGTTGAAGCAATGAAAGAAACATTTCAAGCAAATCAGTGGAAAAATACAATCGAGTAGCCCACCAAAATACAATCGATAGCCAAACTCAAAGTATGCAATTGGAGGGCCCTTGGACTGCTTCTTCTACATCTGCTAAGGATCTTTATCCGATATCTTTAGGTTCTGAATACTGGGAAAATAGAAATTTGATAAATAATTAAATGTATCAATTGCATGTTTTTAACTGTAATTGTAATAAAAGGACGTTTGAATATCTTGAATATATGAGAAATCATAATTGGTTTCACAAAGTTAGACATTGTTTCATCTTAAAAAAGTTATTGGTTTTATTTTTATTTTGATCTAGGAGAATTGTTGACCTGCACTTCATTTGTTTTCATGCAATAAATTCCATATGAAAGAATATTCTTTGAAGAAAATTTGTATGATATGATTGAAGAATATGGACTTACATGTGTTGGAGGAGCCATCTTCTTTATTTCAAGGGTTTTTTATTGTTGATTTAGTTAGGAACATATTGCCTAGAGTAGTTAGTTTCTTGGTTCTGAAGACATCCTTTGCATGGAAAAGAAAAAAAAATGATATTGTTAATGCTAGTCCAAAACTTGAAAGCCGACACACTTAGAGAGCCAAAAGTGAGGCCTAAAACTGATATGGCCTTATAAGAAATTATTCAGCCTGATTACAAAATGATATTGTTAATGCTAGTCCAAAACTTGAAAGCCGACACACTTAGAGAGCCAAAAGTGAGGCCTAAAACTGATATGGCCTTATAAGAAATTATTCAGCCTGATTACATTCCCGACCAAATATATTATATGTATATTTTGTATATATTTTTGCTACTTATTAATTTCGTGAATAGCTAATTTGTTGCATTATTACACATACATGAGTATATGTAGGGTTAGATTATGCATAATACAAATAGGATTGTAAATATTGTTTAATAAAAACGTGAATCAAATATAAAAACCCTTTTTATCTTTTCATGTCTCTCAATTTCTTTATATTATTTCTTAATCTCTTTTTCACCTTAGACTCTTCGTGTCTTCTCAGGATTAATGAGATTTTGTCTATATATCAAAAAACTTTGATGATGGCTCATTAAAGCCTATATATTTGCACAGGCCAACTTTAGACATTGAGAAGCTAGTTTGATGATTTCTTATATCTCTTGATTGCATATTATATTACTTAACATCTATTGGGATGAATAATATCTTAGAACACTTAGTGGGACCACACCAAATTAGTGAAGACCATTATTTAAAATGGTTAAAATTGACAAAAACATCAATGATCCTAAGGACCTCGAGAAGACTCTATATAAGCTGAATATTCATAACACCTCAAGGAATGAAAATGCTTTGACATCTTAGTTGATACTCAAGCCCATGCTATCTAGAGCAAACCTCAGGAACATCTGCTCTTAGATAGCAGAAGAGAATCATATTGTGGTTCTAGTATGGTTGATTTGATTGCTACGACCACAAGATCTTTCATCCTCAACAACCAACAAACATAGAAGGATTTCTAAGTGGCAATGAAGGAACTTCCCATGTTTTGGCTAAGTAGAATCACACTCTAAGGATAGCTCAGCCAAAATCATTAAATGAATAAGGGGTATTGGACCAACAAGAACCTCCTAGCATAATCGTACATAAAACACAACTCCCTAATTAGTAACAAGGTATATGATACAATAGGCAATATTGTGCCCTTAAGGACAGTTGGACAATCAAGATAGGATACAAATTCCAACTTTCGATAGCAAGAGACATGCACAGAGTACGATTTAACAATTTGCTTACTACTTTAACAAAGTTAGGGTTTGAATTTTGAGTCGGCAATTTGACTAACATACAAAAGGCCATATGGGATGTTAAGTTTTACCTATTTTGAATAATAATCTTAAATTCAAATTATTTTGAGGGTAAGATATCAACCCCACAATTGAACATATATTGAGATTCATCCCACAATGTAGAGAATGTAAAGCGAATCATTGTTGAAAACTTGAGTTGTTAATTTGGTAATCCTTTAACGAAGTCAGCCTTTACTTGGAATTATCTTATCGCAAAAATGCTTCAACTAAGGGTTAGTGGATGTTGTAGAGATAAGATATGAGATGGATGATAATCTCATTCTCTGGAGAGAAAGGGAAAGTGTAAGAGAGATGTCATCCTCATTATCTTCTTCTTCTTCACCGTTAACAACAGAATTTCCATCGATAAAAGTGATTATCAACCAATTGTCGACGGACATCCATTTCTCAATAAATCCATGATAAGTAAACTTTTACTGACCGAATAATTTGTCATCAGTAAATTGGTTATAAATGGAATCCAATAGTTGTTGGAATTCCATTGGTAAAACTTTTGTTAGTATTTTGTAGTGGTTTCGTTGTCATATCTGTTGGCATTTTGTTGCCATATTTTTAATTTAATTGTTTTTCATCAGGAAAGTCTAGGTGAATGATTAGTAAAGTTTAAAATAAATTGGTAAAACTTTTGTTAGTATTTTGTAGTGGTTTCGTTGTCATATCTGTTGGCATTTTGTTGCCATATTTTTAATTTAATTGTTTTTCATCAGGAAAGTCTAGGTGAATGATTAGTAAAGTTTAAAATAAAATTACTAAAAAGTCAGTGTCATCTGTAAAGTATGGATAATCTATCTGTATAATTTAAATTAGTGATCTGTCGGTAAAATTTAAAGCAAATCAAATATTTTTGTTTAATTTTGTTCTTTTCCCAAAAAATCAAGACCTATTAAAAATAACAACATATATTTTCAATTCAACAGTATCTGAAATCACATACATTACAAACCAAAATGCATAATTCATGAACAAACTTATAAATAGTAATTCACTAAATAATAATTAATGCAAAAATCAAACTTTTAAACAAAGTTAATATGCTTTCCATGAAAGAATATTAAAATAAAATAAAGTTATAATGATCTACTAATCTACATGGATGTCATCATCATGGTCGAACTTAATGATCCTGCCTCTATCAGCAGCATAGTCAGTATCGGAAACAACTTTTGCAACAATTAAGGAGAAATCTAATATGAAGATGGAGGAGCAAACTGTGGTAGCGACATTATATATAGAGTCAGATGGTGTGGTAGTCTGGCCGATGTGGAAGTTACTAATATTTTATGGATCTCTTCAATTACTTATGACCGCTCCATAACTCTTTGCTCAAGGCCTCGTGTTGGAGGACTAGATTTTTTAGCATCACTTTGAATGACCCTATAAGCAACGTGGCACTATGTGAGGTTGGTTCAAACTATGAAAATTACTGAGATACCTCATAACCAATGGAATAGATCCTTTGCTTACTACACCCATTGGCAGACTAGATGAATATCTTTGCATTTTTTATTGCGACAGACCTCTTCACCTTCAGACTAATGTGAGGTAGCCTTTATAAGAGACTTTGTGTATGAACCCTACAAATCATAACAACAAGCAACTTCAAAGAAATTACATGCATTTAGAGGAATAAAAAGAGGAATCATTCCTTTATATATATATTTTTTAGGAGGAATAAAAAGAAGGAATCATCCTTTATATATATATATATATATATATATAATATATATAATAATATATATATATATATATATATATATAATATATATATTAGCATATATAGCAATTTTTTATAGGTTGTTAATCTTAGCATTAAATTGCATTTAAAGATTGCCCACATATCTCCCTTAAAAATGTCCACTCGAAACTTATATAAAAAAAAATATGACTTTGCTATTTAGCAACCCAACTTTTGTGACATATATGTAAGCTTGGATGTTTAGCCCATTAGGTGATTTGGATGTTTTCAACCTTAAATTAATTAAGTTGATAATTAAATTGCCGAAATAAACCCTTCTAAAAGTAACAGTAACCCTTCTAGAACCTGACACCTCTATTAAATACAATTGAATTATTAAGTAATTTGTTAGACATGATATATTAATTTTAGCTTCATTTCTTTTACCTGTGAGTATAGAATGACAAATGATACAAAAAAACTTACTAAAAAACTAATAATTAGTTCAACATTATTAGTTCATTTTAGAAAGCCACAAATTAAGTGACAACTAGCAAAGACTAAAATGTACAAATAGCATTATTAATATTTCATGTGAATAAACAAGAGAAAATTACTATTACGTCCCTATATAATGGTCAAATGCACTAGTTAGGACCTTCTTTTCCTAAATATATGATTATGTTCCTAAGTTTTGATCCCGTCAAACACTTTAGTCCTTTATCCATTTTTGGTGCATTTAGTCATGGGCCAAACCCTAAAATAGTGGTCATATATAAGAGAACTTTAAATGAAGAAAATTGACCCTAACTTTTGCTCTCTCCAAGGAAAAAAGAGAATAAAAAAGAATAAAAAAAGAAAATCATTATAGCAAAATTGTTAACCTAACATGATATTTTCCTTTTTTTTATCTGCCCAATAATGTTAAGAAATTAATTTTTTATCATTTAATAATTGTATTCTTCATCATTATAATCATCAAAGGTATAAAACCACTTTAGAATCCTAACATAATCATTTGTGCTACTTCCCTGTATTCTTCATCATTATAATCATCAAAGGTATAAAACCACTTTAGAATCCTAACATAATCATTTGTGCTACTTCCCTTCCAAGTGCACCAAATCTAATATCTCCAAATCGAAGAAAGTTAACCAAATATCCAAAAAGATATCTTCTAGTGAAACCGCCATTGCTATCAACCCCCTAAGATGATTTTGACTCTACTCTCTCCGCAGACTATTCCATGTGTGCTCTCCCAACTACTTCTGATGAATGATTTTTGCTAAGTGAGCGGAGACTAAATGGATCCTATTGGAGGTAGGCATGGCTGGTTTAGTGAACCGCCGGTTCGAGATGTTTAAAATTTTGAACCGGAACCGACCCTTGAACCTCCGGTTCAGGTTCCGGCACGGTTCCGGCGAACCGACGGTTCAGTCCGG